GTGTAGTGTGTCAAAAGAAAGTGGACCTTACAATTCATTTCAATACAGTTTGTTATGATAGCATGTTGCTATGCTAATGCCACCTTAATCAAATAGGGATACAAATGCACAACTCACTAAAAAATTGATAGTAGCCTACATAGGCAAAGAATTTAGATAAAGAAGTTCCACATGTTGATAGAGTTTGACGATTGTTATGTAAACAATTTTAAGCTTTTTACATAGAAAAAGAAAACTCTGCGTGCCACACAGCATAGCATGTTGCTACGTTAATGTCACTGTAATAAGCATGAAAATGCATTACTTAAAAGGGGTCCTATTATGCTTTTTCACTTTTTCAACTTGAGTTAGTCTGTAATGTTGCTGTTTGAGCATAAAAAAAGATCTGCAAAGTTACAAAGCTCAAAGTCCACTTCAAAATGAGATATTTTATTTAACAGAAATCACTTTTTAAAAACTACAACGAATGACTCATTTGGACTACAACACATATTTTCCGAGATTTGTGATATCACAAATACCGACGAATGGGATGAGACCTGGTTGAGCTGCACTAGAGAAGGCAATGAGTGTTATCACTATGTTGGAGACACGCTAGCTTTCCCAAGGCAGACGAACTTAGAGTGGTTACAATCATCCGGGTTTAAATCGCGCTCAAATTGATTTGATTTTGACGCAATATTTACACTGAAGCTCGCAGGCGGCTATGGTAAGGGGCATGACATTTCCCGACCAGGCGCCGAGTGGTGCCATTCACAACACACACTGGCCCAGCTAATCACAGCACATTTCGTATTTCAGAAGGCGGGCCTTCATTTGATACAGGAACTATTCGAGCCGTTCATGCCAGACTGGGGAGAGAGGTGTTGTAATAATGTAAAATATGTGAAAAATAATGTGTTTTTCGAACAACCTTGTATTAGAGCCTGTTCTAGTACACCCCCAAAACAAAATCAAGACTTTGTAAAAGAGCATAATAGGACCCCTTTAAACAAATAATGAGTAGAATAATATTTTTTAAATTTAAATAAACAGTTTTTTTATTAGTATTGTATTTTAATATTGTATTAGAACAATATTATTTTGTAGTATCGATAATATGTAACATGTAAGCCAGGACAAGGAGGAGCGAGAATCCAAATGCAAGCACAGGGGTTTATTAAACACAAAAAACAACTAATCCAATCCACTAACCAGGGTACAATCCACATAGAGGAGTCAGGAGCATAATCTACACAGAGAAGGCAAGAGTGTAAACCAGAAACACACGTACAGGAACCAACAACCGACCAACCACAACTGAAGCACAGACCTTATATACACACACAGACTTAACAAGCTAATGACACACAGGTGGAAGTAATCACACAACAATAAGTCCAGGCAAAGGTTTATGGGATATGTAGTCTGTGATGGAATGGCAAAGGAGTAGTAAGGAGTGCCCTCCAGTGGAGCTCATGGGAACTCCAGCTGGTGATCGTGACATAGCCCCCCCCCCCTTAAGGAGCGGCTTCCAGACGCTCAGAAACAAGAACTGACATAAGTCCAGGAGGGAGGTGGAGCAGAGGATAGGGGGAGGGATGGAGGGCCAGGTCCATGTAATGGAGGAACTGGAGACTGGGGCAGAGCAGGGAGCAAGGGCAGAGCCGGCAGACCAGGGAGCAGAAGACCACCAGAGCAGAGCTGAAGACCACCAAGGCGGAGCTGAAGAGCACCAGAGCAGAGCTGAAGACCACCAAGGCGGAGCAGGCGGAGCTGAAGAGCACCAGGGCAGAGCCAGTAGGACAGAGAGCCAGGGCAGAGCCAGCAGAACAGGCAGAACTGAGGACCACCAGAGTGGTGAAGACCACCAAGGTGGAGCAGAAGACCACCAGAACAGTGCAGAAGACCACCACGGCAAAGCAGACGAAGTAGAAGACCACCAGAGCAAAGCAGAAGACCACCACAACGGAGAAGATGGATAAGGAAACTAGGGCTGAGACCTCGGAGGAACTGAAACATAGGAAACAAACAGTTTACTTATGGCCCCAAATACCGAGGCAGAAAGCACCGCAAGTTCATTAATAATATCCTCGGCTGTGATAGACAGGACTGAATGTTCATTAACAGCCTCCATAGCTGTAACGGGACAAGCAGAGTGTTCATATACGGCATCCATAGCCGTGACAGGACAGGCAGAGAGTTCACATACAGCCTCCATAGCCGTGACAGGACAGGCAGAGAGTTCACATACATTCATAAACAGTCTCCTTGGCAGTGATATGGTAGACAGAGGGCTCTGAAGTTGGCACCACTTCCATGAGAGGAGCTGAAGCTGACACCACAGCCTTGGGAGGTTCTGCAGCATAAGCTGCCACCTCGGGAGAAGCTGGAGCAGACTCGTAGTCTGAAGCAGGCTCTGGAGTGGATTCAAGGACTGGAGTGGGCTCTGGATCAGGCTCATATACTGGAACGAGCTCTGGAGAAGTAGCAGAGCAGTTTGTAGCCCAAACACACACAATAGTCATTGCCGTAACAGTACATAAGACAGCGGGACCACCTCGGAGAACCCCAGGCTTGACATTACCGCAGAGATGCCAGCTGCTCACACTGACGTCAGTGGAGTGTCATCCAAACTAGAAGACAGTCTCAAACGCCTAGGGTCCACCTTAATGACTTCATTCGCAACATTCATGACGACCGGGAATACTGATGTGGCGTCCATGATGGCTGAAGACTCTGACGTAGCACCCTTGATGGTTGGAGGTTCTGGTGTGATGACCATGACAGCTGGTGACTCTGGCGTGGCGGCCATGACGGGACGAGACTCTGGCACGGCGGCCATGACGGTACGAGACTCTGAGCTGACGGCCCGCCTTGGAAAGAGACTCTGGACAGGCAAAGGTTTATGGGATATGTAGTCTGTGACTGAATGGCAAAGGAGTAGTAAGGAGTGCCCTCCAGTGGAGCTCATGGGCACTCCAGCTGGTGATCGTGACATAATGTCATTAGTAGAAGTACAACTTATTAGTACTACACCTCCTTATGGAAGTTATACTTATTAGAACTAACTAAAATATAGGTTAAAACAAAGTTTTGAGTAGATATGTTTTTGGATAGGTTGGAATTGTTTCAATTTTTGTATGTCACTTAAGCATTAATAAAAATATATATAAAAATGTTTTTTATATAGAATCAAATGAATTAATGACATTTAATTAAGAACATTTATATTCTCTGTGCTGGATAGCCTCGCCTACAATAAAATCTCATTGGCCCAAAATCCCACTTCACACAGCTGTACATTGAACATCAAGTATCTTCTGATTGGCTGTGATTGTGTCGCATAACATAACAGTTTCACTTTCAGTGTGAGAGACAAATTGCTTGTCGCCGGAACAGTCGCATCATGCCTGGTTAGGACACGGTGCAAGTCTGTCGCATTTTGTGTACATGAGTGAGAAGGAGAGAGAGGGAGAGAGAGCAACACCTCTGACAGCAATTTATTTGGAGCGAGATCTGCTAGCGGCAATAACGCCCCCCTCTGCATGCCTGGCATCTGTGCTGCCACCCAAAATGTCAGCACACAGAAGCGGGCACTCACGGGTCATTAGGGAAAGCTGTCACAGCCCACTGTCACCCTGTCCCTGCAGAGGGAAAGAGACAGAGAGAGAGCCACACTTGTTAGAGCGAGCGGCGTCCAAACACAGCCTCCTCCACCTCAACTATTCATAATGGAAACAAACTCAGGGGAAACTGCTCCCACCAGACACACACCTGCCATAAAACATAAGGAGCTGAGCACAAAGACAAACTGTTGAGGGGTTTTTCTTTCCCTATGGAGATCAATGCAGATAATGTAAATGTTTTATGATGATCCGAGTACCCTGTGCAGACAGGTAGGTGTAGTAAGCAAGACACTAGATGGTGTGTTTTGCCTTAGCGCTACGTGAGCTGCTCTGTTACACATCTCATCCAAACCCTAGTGAGCTGCCTAGTTACATACCTTCCATAGCTAAAATGAAACATTATACGTGACAGATCTGATTGCTGTACATAGACAGCAGTGACTTTGCACACAAATAGTGCTTCACATACAAAGCACACAGGAGCACAGATTGCAACATGAGAGTTTAATAAGCAAAAGTATATATAGTACACTGAATTGTAGGGTAAAACAGTTTTGTATTTTATTGAACTGCATTTAATCACTAATGATTTTTTTTATTGCATTAATATAAGTACATTTATAATTAATTTTTTTTCTTGGTTTGTCCACCATCTTAGATTGTTTATTGTTGCGTTTATTTCCCAAATAAAATTCTGGGTAAAACAATTTGTATTAGTTTATTAGTTTATATTAAATACATTTATATTTATAAATTTTTATAGTTCTGCATGAATCATAAGTACTTTTGTAATTTGTCTGTAGCGTCTGGACCAATCAAAAACACATTTTTTCATTTGATTTAACAAATCAGTTATTTATTAGTCGTCACAGACCCCTCACCCAATAGACTGGGCACCAGGATGTCTGCGAATGACATTATTCATATTTCCCCATGAGCTGATTAGCTACAGATTGGTGGAGGAAATGCGGGCGTGATAAAACGATGGTTATGAGCCTAAACACTGTCAACCTAAAAGTGTGCGGGATAGTCCAGGTCAGAATAGGGCGTGACTTGAGATGCGCTGTTGTGTCCCTATTTGCTGGCTTATTTAAAAGCAGATAAAGTAGGGGCTTGAATTTGTACCTCTATTATGATTGGAAATTTCTGTCGTTAGTGGAGCATAGGTCTTTTTCTGACAACGGAATCTCAGATTAGCAGCTCATATAAATGGTACCAGAATAAATCGGTCTGATCTTGGGCAAAGAAATCCCCTTTTTCAGCACTGTGTAGGGGATCTGAGCGATGCTCCTCATTTCACTGATGTAAGGCCTTATTATTTGTTATGTATCATTGTATTCATATTGACCCGCTCATGTGAAACATTTACGTAACTTCTTATACATGTGCGCACCAGTTTCTGATCAAAATCAGATAAAACTATAGCTTGAATGTGCCTTCCTACAAGTAGTAGAAGTTTTCAGTGCTGTAATGTGTTTAAATCGTATGATAAGAAACTAACCTGATTTTAGCGAAGAAATCGCTAAATTTCATTTTGACTCGCTCATGTGAAACATTTACGTAAAATTAATGGTTTATTCTAGCGTAGCTAACTACGAATCCACCATTGCCTGTGAAGTGAATGTGCTGTTTTGATTAGTGAATGAATTTGTATGGGACATGTCATAACTGACCGTTATGCCCCTCAGGAGTTTCCCATGCATGCTCACATGTGAGCCTTAGTAGTCTTGCATTGTTCAACATCTTTTTTATTCAATAATTGGCATGGTGCACTATGGGATTTTGGATAAAATAGTTTAATAATTAAACTATATTTAATTTATATGATATTAGTGTGGTCACAGTGTGTTGTAGGATTGCTCTCTTCAATTTAGCCAAACAAATAAATAAATAAAAATAAGTACGCAACTACTGTATTATTCATATTAAACATTTTACACGTTTTTATAGTTCTGAATGAATCATTACTTTTTTAATCAATATCTATTTTGCATTGTTCAACATCTTTTTGTTTATTCATTGGCACAGTGCATGATGAGATATTGGATAAAACAGTTTAATAAGTAAACTTTTTAATCAATATTTTTCAATATTGTATTAATTAAATCAGTATATAAATTGATATTTCTCTTGTATCACCTACCAACTTGGATTTACTTATTCACTGTCACAGCGCATTATGAAATTGTCTTCTTCAACTGGCCAAATGAAATTTTGGGTAAAATTATTTATATAAAATTATTTTTAATCAGTACTATTCCAGTATTGAACATATTTAGGACATTTATTCTTCCACATCTTACACCATCTTGGATTTTTTTTTTTATTATTCATGTCATAGTTCATTGCGGGATTGTCCTCTTCAATTTAGCAAGTAAATTAATAGTGCTGTCACGCGATTAATCGAATCCAAAATAAAAGTTTTCTTAATTATAACTAGTTATGGTTAATTATTCATATTTCCTGTTGTGAGCTAAATTCGTTACACATGTATAGCTATATTTAAGAAAAATGTCACGTTTATATATGATATAATTTATATGGGTATATAAATATATAAATAAAGATATATGGATACATGTTAATATTTTCAAAATATATGCTGTATGTGCTTGTATTTATATATACATACACACACATATGTAAACAAAAACTTTTATTTTGGATGCGAGTAATCGCGATTAATCGTTTGACAGGACTACAAAATTAATAAATATGAATAAAAGGCCTGCTTATTTTTAATCAATTCTTTTCAGCATCTAATGAATTGAGGACATATAGACTACATTTGTCTTGCATAGTCTGCCATCTTGAATTTATTTTCTCATTGTCACAGTCAATTATGATCTAGTCTTCTTTTATGGTTTAAAGAAGGTAACTATGAGGAAGCATAATGCTCATCTTTTGGAACAGGCTTCACACTGTAAGCATGCCAGTGATATTTTAAAATGTTGCATAAAGAGACAGCTTGCTCAGGTTTTGGAACAGAGCTCATGTGTTTTTTGTGTGCATGTGTGTGAAAGTGCAGATAAAGATATACCTGCTGAATAGGTAGAGAGAACATCTGCAGAGAGAGAGAGAGAGAGAGAGAGAGAGAGAGAGACAGAACGCTATGGTGCCTGGTATCCGACATGCGCGCTGACGGCCGATTTGTCGCTTCAAACGCAGAGGGCTGACCTGGGGGCGGAGACACACACAGCGCACAGTGAGGCAGCAACGGAGTCTGAAAAGCTGTGACACTTCAAAGAGAAACTCACACACGCACGCACATACACCCACAAACAAGCTGTCATCTCCTGAGAAAAGATACACACCATGCTAACCTGTTTACTGTGTGTGAGAGAGGGAGGCGAGCAACACAGGTGCTATGCTTAGGGTGCAACGGAAATCAAACTCCATAAAATAACCCAGATTAAATGTGAATTTATCTGTGGCCTTAAAACTCTCATCTTTAAAAGTGTGCATTCTCAATGACTGCAAACCTGTTCATGCTTCAGTTTCAATTTACTCCACTAAGCTCCACCCACACAGTTGGTAGAAATGCAAATGTATATAACATTGGCTGCATCCTAAATCACATACTTCCCTACTAAATAGTAAGCAAAAAAACAGTTTGGGAGAAGAGTAATGTGTCAGAATTCATTTACATTAAACAGAAAAGTACACAGATGACCAACTACTTATGGCAAGATTCTAGCCCATGAGGCCATAGGAGAGGTAGCCTACAACTGATTCTGGTAGGTCACATGACAGTAACAACATGGTAGATATAATACGTTCATACAATTCTACACATTCATACTATCCAGAATATACTTTTTGAATAATCGTGAAATCATCGTACTTATTAAAAAAATACCTACTTATAGAGTATGGGTTTTAGAATGCAGCCATCATTAATTCATTATACTATAATAGTGTAATAGTAAAATTAATAGTAAAAAGTTTTTAGTCAATACTATTTTGATATTAAAGGTGGCAAATAAGTGATTTCTGGTAGCCAGTGTTGACATTTGAAATCACCAAAACAAACACACCCCTACCTCAAAAGGGTCTCGCCCCTATTTTGATAGCTCTGCCCCACACATACGTACACAACCTAAGCAACGATTAGTTCCGTGAAACAAAGCAAAACCAATGTTACACCGTGTCTACACTGGATGCGAGTGGTGAGGCCCGACAAAATACTATAGAACTCATTATAATCAGTGATGCTGTCTACACCATAGATATACATCCTACACTGGACGGCATGCGGCATGACACGACAAATCCCCCACAGAAAACTGGTGCTGCGCTCTATTTATGATGTATTGACACAAATTTCAAATGATTTTCAACGGTTGCTTTGTTGCGTCCAGTGTTCTAGACAGACTTTAGCTGTTGCGGTGCAGATACGGTGTTACTCACCTATCGAGAAGAAACAAAGCAGCCTCGGCGTCCGATCGCAGGCCTTCCGCTCCTTGAGTTCTCTCCAGTGCTGGAAAGCTGATCCGATATTTACACGGGTCCTACTTCTTGCATTAAGCCTTCTTTTGTTCTGCAGACATTTTCCTCTTTTGTTTTTTATCCCCCATCTCTATCTTTCTGTCGCTCGGCTCGGCTAATGTCTGTCCTGTGCACTGAACGCTCTTTCCTCCACATCATGAGTAGACAAGCCCCTTACTGCTGATTGGCTACAAATTTGTTTTGCTACTCAGCCCAAATCAGTTTTCTAAAGCGTTTTTGAAAAATCGCCACCTTTAACCACATTAAGGACAATTATTTTCTCACTACTTCTGCCATCTTGGATATATTTATTAATTGGCACAATGAGCTATGGGATTGCCTTGAAGTTTTGGGGAAAAAAACTTTAATAATTATATTAAATTATATTTAATTAATTCAGCATTGAATGAATTAAGGACATTTATAATCAATATTTATCTTGCATTTTTCATCATCTAGGGTTGATTTATTCACTGTTGCATTGCATCTTCTTTAATTTGGCCAAATTGAATTTTGAGTAAAAATTCTTTACACTGTTTTTGATCCAAAAACAAATTTCAAATGAATTATTTTATTAAATTATATAATTATTATTTATTTTTATTTTGCCATTTTGGATTTATTTATTAATTGTCACAGATCGTTGTGTGACTGCCCTTTTCAATTTGTCAAAAAAGTGAATAAACAAAATAAACAGGAAATAGTTAATTTTTTATTTTATTAAACAGTTTTGCAATGCAAACCTGTAGATTTAACATGTTATTATTATTTTTTGCCTCCTCATTTATTTACTTATTTCTGGATAGAGACAGGTTATAATAGATATCAGAAAACTTGAGTTGCCCACATGAGAGCCACATCTCAATGCATAAGAAAATATAGTACCTGCTAGGCCACAGCTCCTACGAGAATCAGTAATAAAGATTCTGTTCTTCCACTTCTGGGATTTAACGGCACTATTGAGCACCACATGTAACATTTACACATGCTTCTTTGCATGTGATCCTGCTCGGTGTGTGTGTGTGTGTGTGTGTGTGTGGTCAGCGTTATGCTCCACTAGCGTCTCCATTCCCTCAGGGCTCACCTGTAACTCACTCTACTGCTGTAATCACGCTGCTTGCTGCCCGCTTTCTAAACTTGATTTCCAGATTGCATGTGTGTGTTTGTGTGTGTTTCCTGGACTAATGTCAAATAGATATCAGAAAACTTGAGTTGCCCACATGAGAGCCACATCTCAATGCATAAGAAAATATAGTACCTGCTAGGCCACAGCTCCTACGAGAATCAGTAATAAAGATTCTGTTCTTCCACTTCTGGGATTTAACGGCACTATTGAGCACCACATGTAACATTTACACATGCTTCTTTGCATGTGATCCTGCTCGGTGTGTGTGTGTGTGTGGTCAGCGTTATGCTCCACTAGCGTCTCCATTCCCTCAGGGCTCACCTGTAACTCACTCTACTGCTGTAATCACGCTGCTTGCTGCCCGCTTTCTAAACTTGATTTCCAGATTGCATGTGTGTGTTTGTGTGTGTTTCCTGGACTAATGTCAGCTGATTGATGGAGTTTGTTTGGGTTTAATTATACTGTAGGTGACTGACTATGCCTGTGCACTTCACTGAAGCAGAAAACTCAACTTGGTTAGGCCAGAAATTGGATTTCCGAAAAAGAAACAACATCGAATGGGAGGTTCTCTGGACAATATCAATGTCTTTCTCTTTCACTCCATAGTTCCGCAATGAAAACAGACTTGTAACATAATTACTATGATATAATGATCAATTCCCACCATAGAACAAAAGATGTGCTCGACCGAAACTACAGAATCTATATTGTTGAGACAATAATTATGATGTGTTCATCTTCCACATGATAAGAGAAAGATGATAACAAGTCATCTACTCTTCCTCTATAGATTTAGATATCGATGACACCCAGACTCTATAAAATGGCCAACAATGCATGTAAATGTATCGACTTACCAATACGCCCTCTCTGTAAGTGTCAATCATTACTTTGAGCAAAATAACCAGAACTGGAATAAAAAATGAAATTTAGAGCGCTTAACATCCGAGAAAAACTTGGAGAGTAAGATATATGTGAAGGTCAGTTCTGTGGAGAGGTTTAATAATACAGGGCAAATTCTGCAGGGAATAAACGTTCAATTGAAGCACACGGCTGCTGGACCGCTGGAGTTCTCTCATCTGTCAGCTTTCCTAAATCAATTTAATTTCTTTGCCTATTTCCACAGGGGAAAATTGCAGTGCTTAACGTAGACAGTGTCCACAACATAAAGAATCGTCAAAGATCGGCCTTTAACACAGCAGGTCTTTTTGCATATATATATCAGTGTGAGGTGGATGCTATACAGGTTAAACCGATAAACCTGTTCAAACTTGTCAACGGGTATAAAACACTGCTTTGTAGGGAATGAGCATTCCAATCAGTTTACATTGAACCAACACATAAAAAAGAAAGAAGGCGGAACAAATAGAGTAACTAACTCTAAGCCCCGCCCCCTTAGTACAGTTGCTAATTCTCTCAAGCTTTCCTCTAATGATTTGTTTTGTAACCAGTAAACCACAGAGAAAATGTTCAGATTGTGTGAATTATCTCAGAAATACCAGGAACATTGTTCCAAACCCTATAACAAGAAAGGCCCAATAAATGCTTCTTATTACTCTGGAATGATGAAATTATGGATGCCAAAAAAAGGTTCAATAGTGCTATTAGATCTTGTAGTATCTTATGATTATTTTATACTGTTTACAATAAAATAAAATGAAATGAAATAAAATAAAATAATAAAATAAATACTCTACTGTGTGCTAGGCCAGTTACAGTATTTTGTATCAAATACAACAAATAATAAAATAAAATAAATAAATGTGCATCTTGTGATTTACACAGTACATCGTGGTACAAAAGTGGTACAAAAAACGGAATTACTATTTAAAAGGCAAAAAGACAAATGTGGATTAAAGAAAACGATTTGAAAAATACCTAAAAACAGTTAGAATGTGAAATGAATATCACTAATCAAATAATCAAATTTGTGACATTGATCACACAGAAGGTCAAATTTTCTTGCTTCTATTCTTGCTGAATAACAGGTTTGACACAAACATGGAGTTCTTGCAGCTTGAGTTTGCATACTCCAATTGTCATGCTGACAATATAATTTCTAATGAAAGAAAATCTATTCAATTAGAAAAATGCTAAATTAGAAACAGTTATGTAAGATTTTGGATCCCACTATATATTGATGCGTGCCAAAATATCGAGAATATTGTGATATCTGCTTGTATCTCCTACCCCCTTGCACTCATTATCTGTAGATTGTGAGTGGTGTTCAGCTCTTGTTCTGGGTGGGGGTTTATTGCAGATGTGTCTGTATGGCAGGGCTGGACTTGGAGTGCTGAGTCGTGCCAGTCTGCTGGCATGTTGTGCTGTGGTACGGTCCGATCCGATACGGGGGAGGTGATGAGCTCTGCAGAAAGGAAACAGGCTTTTCCAGATGGCAGGACTATGATGATCAGCTCAACTGCCACAGACCTGGTCCAGCTACAGCATTAGTCCGGCCCGCTACCCTGTCATTACCTTATCTCTGCCTCTCTGCTATGCCATCCCTGACCCACCCGCCGTCTCTGGATTCTCTCTCTCTCTCTCTCTCTCTCTCTCTTTATTTGCTTGCCAAATCCATCATTCTGTATTCAGTTCTTCCTTCTTTTCCACACTCCTCTGCTTACAAAAATACTATGGCAGTACCACGCTGCAGTGATAGTAATGACATAGTACTTTGTTGCCATGAAAACTTATTATTACCATATTCATATATCATGGTCGCCGTGATTTTGCCAAGTAAGACGTGTTCCTGGATCAATATCTTTTGATGATCCTGGATCAACATTATTGTCCAAAAATATAAACCCAATCCCTACCCCTAAACCTAACCCTACCCATAATTTATTCCTAAAATCAGTGGGAAATGATAGCTGATTAACAAGGGTGTAGAAGCACCTAACCCTGATTGTAAGCCTAAAACAGATATTTCCTAAAAAGTTATATCTCAATTCTGATTATTATTATATACAATTTTTAATCTTAAACATCTTCCTATACAGATTTTTGTTTAATTCAAATATATTTCAATATATCAAATTAAACCAGAATGTATGTATGTGTGTGTGTGTATATATGTATATAAAATATTACCATTTTTATATAGTTATTTTTATATAATTTTATATTATATACTTATATTATTTTTAACACACAATATACTTTTCTTAATTTTAAAATATTATATATATATATATATATATATATATATATAGTTTTTTATTAAATCATAATTTATATTATTTTTAACAGCACTTAAAAATGTTTTCTCTCAAACACACTTACGGATATAATCTTTTTAACTTTTCGAAAAAATAATCTAAATTATTGAATGTATTATATAATTTACATTTTAATATTTCTTTATAATGCATAATTATATACATATATACATACATATATAATTTTGACAGCGCTTGAAAATATTTTTCATGTGTGTACATAATAGGTAGCGTCTATTCATGGATCCATACACATTATTTATATTGCCTATTAACAGCCCAAATAACCCAAATTATCACATGGATTACATTAAAACGAAATCTCTATTGTGCAACTGAAAGGAACCAGTTGTAACATTCAAATAGTACCCATCTCCGAAAAACATGGTAATAGCACTTTTGGTAAGTGAGTCTCTTCCACATCTTCCACATCTCCGATCCTTTTCTCTCCTCTCTTTTTCACTTTTTCTTCCTTTCTGGATCTACATTTCCTTGGGTCAGCGATAGAGACTGTAAATGAATTATGAAGCCGTGTCCAGCTGACTGTCTTTGCTGTGCACTGAGAGGTGTTGGGAAGGGGGGAGCTGCCAATACAAGTGACAGCCCTTAATGCTCACCCTGCCTGGTGGGCTTCATTATGTCCTAGCCAGTGAATCCAGCCTTTCCCCAGCACTTCTCTCTCTCTCTCTCTCTCTCTCTCTCTCGTCACCTTCATTCTCCCTCTCCACCCGTGTCGAGACAGCCCCTGCCACTGATGCGTTTACCTCATTCGGTGGGTTTTACCCTGAGCAAAGACAGTCAGGCTGGATTTCTCCAGCTCCTATCAAACCCACATTTCTTTGTCAGCTTTCCCCCTCAGCCTGTGGCATGTTTGGGGAGGTAAACTACTTGATGAAATTTAAAAGTAAAAATGTGGATGTGAATTATCACACCTCTGCTGGGCTCGGGCTGCCACTTTGGCTGGCTTGTGATTTTCTGTCCCGGGGTGGGAGTGAGCAACGGGCGTCCATTATTGATGACATCCATCAGGTTGAAGGGGCATCTAGAGGGGGCTGGGGTGGGCAGGAGGAGCCTTCTGCCATGTGACCGTACTGCCTGTAGTAGAAGAGCAGAGTCATATGGGTTGTTCAGCGACAACTAAATGCACATTGCGCCAGGCATCAATGCTAAGTGAATGCTGGAACGGACCCATGGGTGAAAGAATTACCTGAAAAGTAAGGAGTGGGGGGCATTATAAACCTCATTAGCAGCATTTCCAAATACAACATGGTTTTAAATGCCCAATTGCAGTGAATGAAATATTATTTGAAAGTGTAAAAAACTAAACTTTAAAGAAATGCCAGTCGTTCTACTATTCTGAATGTTTGAACAGCATTAAACTAAATGACTGTTGATCAAAGGTGGACTTGGATTGTTGCGCTAGAAGGAGTGGGCTATGGTTCATTCAGCCCACTGCATAAACAGCCGGTTGGCGGAGGCTTATGCTTGGTCTTAACACAGTCATTAATAGTAGGTTGAAACTAGTGTGGCCTTAATGTCTGTTTGAGGGAGAGAACAGGATCCTGCTAGACAATCCAGATAAAATTAAATAGAACGATAGAACAACAGAACGATCGATGGAATGACAGATAGACAGATGGACGGATGGATAGACAAACAGAATGATTGATAGAACGATAGAATGCTAGATAGAACGATAGATAGATAGAACGATAGATAGATAGAACGATAGAACGATAGATAGATAGATAGATAGATAGATAGATAGATAGATAGATAGATAGATAGAACGATAGAACGATAGATAGATAGATAGATAGATAGATAGATAGATAGATAGATAGATAGATAGATAGATAGATAGATAGATAGATAGATAGATAGATAGATAGATAGACGGACGGATTGGATGATAGAATCCATAGAATGGCAGAGTGACAGAACAATAGAGCAACCGAAAAATAGATACAGTCAGAACGATAGATAGAATGATAGAAAGAATGATAGAAAGAACGACAGACAGACAGAACAATAGATAGATAAACGGATAGATGCATAGACGGACGGACAGATGGATGGATCATAGAATCCATAGAATGGCAGAGTGACAGAACGATAGAGCAACCGAAAAATAGATACAGTCAGAACGATAGATAGATAGATAGATAGATAGATAGATAGATAGACGGACGGATTGGATGATAGAATCCATAGAATGGCAGAGTGACAGAACAATAGAGCAACCGAAACATAGATACAGTCAGAACGATAGATAGAATGATAGAACGATAGAACGATAGATAGATAGATAGATAGATAGATAGATAGATAGATAGATAGA